CTTTCCTCAGACTCCAATGGTTGTGGTTGTGACTCTTTTGGATCTCCTTTTGTTTTCTTGCCGAAGAAAGCAGACAAACTCATTTGCCTTTTCATCTTGGCAATATGCTGCAAAAAAAAATTCAACAGTGTAGTGGTTTGGACTCAATTGTTGTTGTAAGTTGAGTGGTGAAGGCAGTGGCAAGTGAAGAAAGCAGGTGAGGAATGGAGATCAGTAATATTCAGTTACTTTTAAGAGTCCCTGACACTATAGCTAGTTAATATTTAAAAGATGTTATGGAAGAGGAACAAGTTTCACCAGACAAGACTGAGATTGAACTGAAAGTGGATTTGAAAATGACAGTGTATAAAAAAGATGTTGCGCTGTGTATATAAAAGAATGGCTGATATTTTCATAATTACAATTCATTAATTGAAAAAGAAACACTTAAAATGGAAATACTATTAAGAAACCAAGGGAGTTTGTTATTTTGTGCCAGTAGTGGCACAAATATCTTTCCTAGCCAAGACTACTTACCTGGACCAACAGTCCCTAATTGAATGCTCTCTCTATAGCAGAGAGAGAAAAGCCAGGGGAAGCCATGTTTGGTCGCCTAACCTTTTTAGAATGCAGCTTAAAAATGTAGTGAAGCTTTTTACAGCTTTATGCAGATATATATAGTACAAAAAAAAGGTAATAGTACAAAATCACCAAAGAAGTTAGATTAAGAATGGAATTAATAGGCACATTCACAGAGCGATACTTTTTTTTTACAAAAAATTCTTTTTCTGAAATTTATTCCTTAATTTAAAAAACTGTAATATATGAATTCAGTATTGGGCTCTGCTAATGTAGCTATTCAAGAGGATGTAGTATCCAGGTTAGCAAAAATGGTAAAGAGAATAAAACGACAAGTACAAAAAATGGAAAGAGGGACACCAAACTAAGGCAGAATAGCAACAAATAGCTTGAAATCTCAAAGATTAAGTTAGGAAAACTAAGGCTTTGAATGAAGACAACAAATGTTAAAAACAATAATAACAGAAGATGGAAAAGAAGTAATGGGCAGTAGAGACAAAGCAGAACTACTTGATTCATACTTCTCATCTATCTAGATGCAAAAAATAAACTATTCAACTTACCAAAAACATAAATGACTGGTTAGAAATGCAAATTAAAATATGCAAAAGTAAGATCTGCTCTAGATGGATTCAGATCAATAGATCATGATGGAGTACATCCCATAATTTTGAAGGAACTGGCAGATATGACTTCAGAACCGTTGAAACATCTTTTCAAAGTTCTTGGATCACTCTAGAACTACCTGCAAAAAAGCTGATGTCGCCATTAAAAAAAAAAGGTGGGGGGAAGATCCAGGAAATTACAGACCAATTAGCCTGATATCAATACCTGGGAAGATCTTGGAAAAAATAAACAACAAATACAGAATTCAGAATAACAGAGTTGGAAAGGGACCTTGGTGGACAGTCACTTAAATATGAGCCAGCAGTGTGTGACAGCAGTCAAAAAAAATAAAAAAGCCAATGCAGTCCTAGGCTGCCCTTAACAGAAGGATAAAATCAAGATCACATGAAATTCCAGTGTCACTTTACAAAGCCTTAGTAAGACCACTTCTGTACTTCTGTTTAATAAAAGGTTCCTTTTGAAATACTTCATTTCAAAAGTCTTCACTTTAGAAGGAGAGGCAATCCTTACGGTTACTGACTTAACAGCTGCAGCGGTTCACTTAACAACTGGTTGTAAAATAGAGCAAAACTACTTAACAACTCTCTCTTCTGCTTAGCATCAGAAATTTTGGGCTCAGCTGTCATCATAAGTCAAGGGATCACCATCCACGTGAGCTTCCCAGCCAGCTTCCAAGAAGCAAAACCAATAAGGGAAGCCAGATTTGCTTAAGGATCACATGAGTCACTTAACAACTGCAGTGAGTCACCTAACAGCCATGCCAAAAAAGAGCATAAAGTCAGGTGTGACTCACTGAATAACCATCTTGCTTAGAAATGGAAATTTTGGTTCTAGTTGTAGTTTTAAGTTGAAGACTATATGGTATTTGCTGTGTCAATTTCTTTTCTTTCTTTCTTAGAGAGAGGAAAAGAGTGGAAAAAAGGAAAAGAAAGTGAAAGGGAGGGAGGAAGGAAGAAGGAAAAGGAAAAAAGGAAGAGGAAAGGAAAGGAAAAGAAAGGAAGAGAGGCAGGAGGGAGGAGGGAGAGAAACAGAGGAAGGGAAGAAAAGAAAGAAGGGAAGAAAGATAAGGAAAGAAGGGAGTATAAGATTCTACTCTCTAAGACAGACATGTCAAAATCAAGGTCCGTCGGCCAGATCCAGCCCTGCCCCACGTGCACTGCACCTGCACACTTCGGGGCTCTCAGTCCATGCAGAGCAGGTGGGTCCGAGCACCATGGCTGTCGGGCTGGCCCTTTAAGCACAGGTAGAGGCAGGAGGCATGCAGTCCAACTCATTAAATGCCTGTCCCATCCCATCTGCAGCTGCAGGCAAGTAAAAAGAGATAGGGCCGGAACCGAAACTATTTATGTTAGGAATACTCAAAAAGAAACATAAAAAATAAAATAAAATGCATTAGATATATTAACGGCGGCTAGAATATCCTATGCAGAATGCTGGAAGCACAGTAGTATACCCTCCGATGAATTGGTTATTCAAAAAAATATGGACTGTGCTGAAATGGACAAATTGACCCTAATGTTAAAAGATGAAGAAGAGTCTGAATACTATAAAATTTGGGATATGTGGTACAATTGGATAGAATCTAGACAGATAGAAAATAAGGGAACTTAAGACAAGCAATCTATTGATAAATGTATATAATCGCATAACAATGTATATAATTGTAAATGTGCACAAAAGATAAAAATATACAAGACAAATGCTATAGTATTGTTAACGTTATGATTGTTTTTTTTATAAGAAGTAAAAAACTAATAAATTTTATTAAAAAGAGAGAGAGAGAGAGACGGGGCTGCAGCGAGGCAGCCTAGCCAGTTATCACTGCCACATTGTGGCTCCTACCCACTCAACTGTCAACACTAACCAAGTGACCTCCTCTCTGCTTGGGCTATGCCGTTTCATCGGCCCTGTGCCCCAGGGTGTAGCCATCTTTCTCTACGAGGTGGCTTGTGTGTTGCCAGGCACCTGGCCGTTCCAGACTCTGTGCCAGATCCTTATAGTGATATTGCCATTCCTGTGGGGAGGGGGGCTGGATCATTTATTCAATTATTGCCCTCTTCTTGTTTCCTACATATCCTGTAATCCCTTAGTTTATAACCCAAGCTTTGACACCTATCTCCCTGTGCTTTGATTTACCTTTGTGGAATGTGTAAGGGGGAGGACCATCTGTTTTGCCTCTGCTCTGAAGCCTCCTGAAAGAAACTCCTGGGAACAGTTCCTTATCTCCTTTCCAGGACAGCCATCTTCACAGCATCTTCGCACCTGTGGATTGACTCATTCAACATCAGACTGAAGGGAGGGGTTTCTAACTCCTTTATCCTAATGGAATTGCCTAAGGGGAACTTGGATCCTGCTTTGCTTTTGTCTTGCAATCACTTCCTTTCAATAAAAGCTTCCTTTTGAAATGCTGCTGTTTCAAGAGTTGTGCTTTCTTGAACTCTGCAGCTGGTGTGAGTACCTTGTTCCCCTCTGGCCTTGCCACGCAGCAGAGAGGCCAGCCCACACCGATGTGCAGCTCATGATGCCCCATGCTCCTGTCTCCCCACCTTTTGTCCCATGGGCCAGGTCCCATCCACTGTTTAGTGGGCAGGCCGGCCAGCTCCCCACTGTAGGCCTCGTGGCCCTTTGACAACAACCATAATGCTGATATAGCCCTGAATGAAATTGGGTTTGACACCCTGCTTTAAGACTTCTTCCAATAACAGTCAAGGCGTTTCATGATCCGCCCCCCCCCAAACATTTTCTCCCAAATGGAAAGATCTTTTTCCTGTCCTGCCACAGCAATGAATGTGCCTAAAAACCTGGTCCCTGCATCGCAACCATCCTTCAATTAAGAATACTGAGAATTTGGAGCAGGTTGGATGAGGAGAGAAACACCATTAAATAGTGAAGAAAAATTAAAAATACACCTCCCCTGGATTTCTCCAGCACTTCCACAACTGCCTGTCACCCAACTTGCTGTCCAGCCCCCAGCCCCCATTGCCATCCAGTGCCCATTGCCATCCAGTGCCTCTGCATCACTGCCACCTGAAGCCACGCTATGTTGGATTGGCTGCCAGGAGATGCGGCTAATTGTCCGATGCAGCAAATCGTCTGGGTAAAAACATGTTTCAGGGAATCAGCCAGGATGAAGGGCCGATGTGGAGAGGCGAGGGGCCATTGGTGGGAGAAGACGGCCAACAGAGAACCAGCGGAGAATGAAAGGCCATTGTGAGTCAGCTGCAGCAGGGAGCTGGGAGAGAAGTTGACACTGCCACGGGTCAGAGCCTAATAGTCCCATTACACCAGACAAATGGCTGTCCAATTTTTTGTGATGGTTCCATAACTTCATAGGCTGAAACATTATAATATATAATCCTGTTCTCTAAAGTGAAATACGTTGAATATTCAATCTTTGAGGTGCTGTTAAACTAAGTTCCAGTATGAACAGTAAATATTAATTAAGGTTGAATTCTGAAAAGATTTAAATACAAAGTTTGCTTTGTGTGATGATTCGTTGTCTTCTATGCTTTTAGGTATTTGATTGAAGAATACATTGGTTAGAATTATAAATCTTGGACTTCAAGATTGGGAAGTATATAATTTAAAATAAAAGCAACTATAAAGATGAGACAAAAATACTGAAAAATAATAAACTATCAAAAAAATCATATTTTCCATGTTCTTCCCAGATTTATTTTAGACAATGTTTCTAGCATTTTTACAGAAAAGCAGGTCTACCAATGTTGCTAGTAATAAGGAAAAATACAGAATTATAATGGCTTCTTATGGAGGTGCAAATAAATCATACTAATATTTATAAACTTATTTTCTAGCTTCATGCTCTCAGAAATGCTTTACAAAATATTTTGGATACTGCCGAAAGTGGAATTCCAAACTTAATAGTCCAACAAAGCATAACTGAATATAAGCTTGAAATAAGGTGAGTAGATTAATAATTGCTTTATTATTCATTCTGTAAGTTTAAAAAAGTTATCCAGCTGAAAAAGTGGTTCTTGGAAAGGAATTGAGTCATGCTCTAATAAAAGGCAATGAACTGTTGTCATTGGAATTTTGTAAGAACCTCTTTTTTCCATGAGCTGTTTCAAGTATTTATTTTGTAAAGTAGATCTTTTTATTTAATTTAAATTACATAATGACCAGCCAGCAGAAGGTTTATGACTCTCTCCTAAGTCCCTCTTTGTGTAACTATTTGCTATGATAAAACACCTTTTATTTATTGTCCTTTTCTTATGTGCCATTTCTGGGAGCAACTAGAATGGTAGGAAAAAGGAAGTGTTATGGGGACAAATCAGGTGGGACAGCCTGTCAGATCTTCAAGTTAGCCCAGACTAGGAAACCAAAGTCATGCAGGCCAATATTGCTATTAATGCAAGGTTATAGTATCAGTCTTGCAAGTTTTAATATTCTTTCCCCTTTTCTCCCTTCTATGGGAGAACTTGGAGATTGTAGGACATCTCATTGCAACCAGATCGACGTGAATGGGTGAGCATGGCTGGGTGGGCATGGATGAATGGATGTGGTCAGGTCAGCATGGATGTATGGGCATGGGCAGGCGGGTGCACTGGGTGGGTGTTGCTGACTGGGCACAGTCAAGTCAGTGTAGAACAAGTCACTTCAGCCAACTGGATATGGGGAAAACTCAGCACCCCACCAGCTCCTCGCCTCCTTGAACTGCTGGGAACCAAACACGGAGGCGGGAACCATTTTGTCCCATACCCCAATGCAAGTCCACAAGTCCTAAAGATTTTGTCAGTTTTCAGGGAAGCTATAGGCGAAGTAAGGTAGAGGCTGTAGTGAGAATAGGGAGTGTCAGTTCTGCTTCACTAGTAGTTTCTGCTTGGGCACCATGCTTCTGTAGAGATAAAATCATGACTGCACCTGTATTGCTTCCTGCCACGATCCAAGGGGACTTATTTTATTATGTCCCCAGAAAAGTAACATGCATCCTCTTGGTAACCTAGTCATTAATTGTTTTGGGATTCAATAATCTAACCTGCTACACTACAGCTGAGTAATTATAGTCATTTTTTCAATATTGCTAATGTTACTGGATGTATATTAATGTATATTTCCTGTAATGAAATGTCTGTATTCATGAGCAGAAAAACAAGAAGACTTCGGGATAATGAACAAGAAAAAGATCGAGCATTGCTGAAAGCCATGATTAAAGTGTGGAAAGAAATAAAATCCCTGCGTGATTTTCAGAAGTTTACTAACACACCCCTAAAGCTTTTCATGAGAAAGTATGTTTTTTGCATGAATTACATTATTTAGTATATTAAATTTAGGGCTTTTCTGCATACATTGGTTCTGATTTAAATCAAAGGCTTGGATCTCATTGAGATGATATCCAGGTAGTCCTCAACTTACAACAGTTCACTTAGTGACCATTTAAAGTATTGTGTAGTGGGCTTCATTAGGTAAGAAGCAGACCAGCATAGCTACAACAACATTTATTGACTCAAAACTGTAACTGAAGAACAGCAGGCAATGCCTGTATTTTATACCCTGGGCCCACAGGGCCTTAACCAATCATATTTGAAAAAGCCTGCCCAAATATAAATATTCTGAGTTTCCCTCCAAAACAATTGGAATTAACAGTTAGGGCCATCTAAAAGTTAATTTCACTTTAGCAGGGCTTAACGCAACTATATTCAATACATCACTCCCTTCCTCCCTAGGATAGTTCTTACCCGCAGTCTGTTCAATATTCATAGTCTTTGAGATAGGCTGGGGGCTCACGGATCCTGGTGGACTGCTGCAATGTTACTGAAAAGTCCTATTTAAGTGGAGTATTGTCCATCTCCAGTTGGACAGTCTTGATGGCCGTTTTGGTCACCCATGAGTGGCAATGGCTCTACCGCCCTTGATACCTACATTTTTCTGGAGGTAGCCACAGTAGTGTAGGCAAACTTGGAGGGAAACCATTCTCTAGTGGGTCTGATTACGCCTCGGAATCCTCATCCGGGATTGGTCCAGCCCTCCGACGCCATAACTGATCAATGTGGCATCTGACAGTACAATCATTCCCCAGAATAACCTTGTATGACAAGGGGCCCATTACCTTAGTTACCCTAGCAGCCACCCAAGGTGCCCCACTCCCATAGTTCCTGGCCCAGACCAATTCATCCGGCTGTAACTTCCTGGGAGTTGGCTGAGCTGTCTCTGCTGCAACTTTGTCTGGGTGAAGTCGGTCGAGCTTCATGGTGAGCTGGCAGCCCCACCTCAGCTCCACTGGGCTGCAACCTGTTGCTGTACTGGGAGTTGTGTTTTGACACAGGAGGAAGTTCACCAGGTGGTGATTCCAGTCGCCAGTTATCATCCGCTTGAGCACTTCCTTTGTGATCCTGACTGTTCAGTCTGACCGTTGGTCACGGGGTGAAATGGAGAGGATGTTACGTGCTGGATCATGTTGACATTGAGGAATGACATAAACTCTTCTGCCATGAATTGTGCCCCATTGTCAGACACGATTACATCTGGCAGACCATGTGTGGCGAACAGCTGGCGCAACTCTTGGATGATCCTGGTCGGTGTCATCGATGAGATCAGTGCCACTTCCAACCACGTGGAATAACTATCCACTGCTATCAGGAACACCTGCTCCTGGAAGTGGCCCGCAAAAACAATGTGCATGCGATACCATGAGACGCATGTGTGTGGTCTCCCAGCGGTGCACTGGTGCTTGTGGCATCTCTGGTCGGGTTTCTTGGCAGGCCTGGCAACTCCTTACTTGATTCTCCATGTTTTTGTTCCAGGCCTGGCCATCATAAGTAGCTCCTGGCTAGAGCCTTCATCCGAACAATTCCTGGGTGCCCCTTATGTAGGGAATCCAGCACCTTGGAGCAAAGACGGTGGAATGATGACCCTGCTACCCCACAACACACATTTCTTGTGGGCCGACAATTCATTTTTTTTTGAGAAGCGCAGTGCTAGAACTCAGGGTCTAGACAGGCCTCTGGCCATCTCCTTAACACCCAGTTGAGAATGCGGCTAAGCGTTCTGTCTGTGGTGGTTTCAGCTGCAATGTCCCCTGCATGTGGGGGTGCTTCAGGCAGGTCATGGATCACCAGGATACAACAAGCTAGGGCTGGATCCAGCTCAGTCTGCGGTAAAGGCAGTCGGCTGAGAGCGTTGGCATGGCCCATTTCCTTGCCCGGCTTGTGGACTAGCTGGTACAAGTATGCAGCCATGAAAATGGATCATCGTAACATTCGCAGTGACAGGATCTGCGGTGTCTGTCAGCTGTGAAGAGACCAAGCAGAGATTTGTGGTCTGTAAAGATGGTGAAGTTTCATCCATATAAGAAGTAGTGGAACTTCTTAATGCCAGCCACTATGGCAAGGGCTTCCTTGTCTATTTGGGCATAGTTCCTTTCAGCTGATGATAACATTCTAGAATAGTATGTGATGGGGGCCTCTCTACCATCAGTTATCCTGTGGCTTAGTACTGCCCCAATGCCATATGGTGAGCGTCACAGACTAGTGTTACTGGTAGGATTTCATTGAAATGAGCTAGGATGGAGTCCAAGGATAGTGACGATTTTAGCACCTTGAATGCTTTGTCGTGAGTGCTCGACCAGACCCTAGGTACTTGTTTATTCAGTAGGCGGTGTAACAGTTCTGCCAAGGCAGCCTTATGCGGTAAGAAGGAGTAGTAAAAATTGAACAGGTCCAGGAATGCTTGAAGCTCCCCCTTGGATTTTGGTGTGGGGCTTGCTGAATTGCCTTTAGCTTTGCTTCAGGAGGGTGGATTCTGGCAGCGTTGATTAGGAATTATGTGGATTCCATGCCCATCTGGCACTTTTCCCTCTTGAGTTTTAGGCCTGCCTTCTGGAAACATTGGAGTACTGTGCGGAGACGTTCTGCCAGAACTGCCGCTGATTCCCCCACGATCAGGACATCATCAGAGTATGGGCAGATGCCAGGAATGTTCTTTGCTGTTTGTTCCATAATACTTTGAACAACCCTGGTGCTACGCTTACCCCAAACTGTAAGCGGCACACTTGAAATGCACCTCTGTGCGTGACTATATTGTTTGTGTTTCTACGGTAGCGTCATCTACCAGTAGCTGCTGGTAGGCCTGGGCAAGGTCTAGCTTAGCGAAGATTCGGCCTCCCTGGAGCGAGGTAAGGATGTGGCTTACCACTGGTACAGGGTAAGCATGCTGCTGTAGTGCCTTGTTTATGGTGCATTTGTAGTCTGCGTAGATGCGAATGTCCCTGTTAGTTTTAACTGGAATCACTATGGGAGTCTCTCACTGGCTACTGTCCACAGGTTGGAGCACTCCCTGCTATATCAGCTTGTCTAGTTCTGCATCAATTTTAGGCTTCAATGCACGGTTTAATTGGATTGGAGTTACTACTGGATCAAGGTTGAGTGAAATAGGTGCCCTTTTGTATTGTCCCAGCTCCATGCTGAATACATCAGCGCATTGTTGGCATACCACTTCTAAATCGGCTATTTGGGTTTGATGGATGCTCATTACCCTGATGCCCAGGGCCTCGAACCAGTCCAGTTCTATGAGGCCTCTCTATGAACAATACGCTGAAGGGACCCTCAAAATTTTATTCTAATGGTAGCTTTGCCCCTTATGGGAACAAGGCAATTCTGGAAGTCCATTAGCACTAAGCTCGATGATTTGAGCGGGACCCACTGTCGGTTACATTTGCAAATGTGGTCGAAAGTTGTGAAGGAGATAATGGATAGGGCCAATCCAGTATCTATCTCCATGGAGCATGGGACCCCTTGAAGTTTTAGTTAGAGTCTTATCCTTTATTTGATGGGGCGTTGGGCCCCTGTGTGTTGGACGCTATGCCTTCCCGAGCAGTATTCAACTCTGTATTGTCCTGGGGGCCTTTTCCCCTTGTGCTGCTGTCTTGTAGGTTTCATTTCCCACTGACGACCTCTGCAGACTTGGGCAATGTGCCCTTGCTTTCCACAGGCACGGCTTACTGCTATGCGGAATCTGCATTCTGCTCTTTCATGCTGTCCCGCACAGCTTGCACAGCTCTGTGGGGGAGTTGCTTGTTCTGTGGAGCATGGCCATCTGGGTGGCTCTCTCCGCAAGTGATCAATTCCTTTGTTCTCACTAACCTCCCCTGAGCCTTCTGCGGTGAATTGCTGGGGGCTGGTGTGTGTTTTTTTTGGGTGGCCAGAGAGTCTTCATGGCCCCTCTGGCAGCCTCATCTGTCATGACTTCCTTCAGTGCGTCTTGGAATGTCAGTTTCTCCATGGCAAATAGGCGCTGCTATAATTCACTATTACACAGGCCGCAAACGAACCTGTCTCTGAGAGATCTTCCAGATCAGGAAACTCACATTGGCATGAAGCTTGAAGCTGCCACAAACTCTGCTGCAGATTCCCCGGATCTCTGTTCACATTGCTCGAATGCATGGTGCCAGGTGATGACCGAGAGTTTAGGCTCAAAATGTTCCCTTAATTTTTTCTTGAGGTCTGCGTAGGCCACTGTCTCTATGGTTGCTGGTGCTATCAAGTTATCAGCAATATCAATCGTGGCTTGTCTGCAGATACATAGTAGGATTGCCACCTTCAGGCTGTTATCCGTGACCTGGTTAGCCAGGAGATAGTTGTCTACTCAGGAGACATATGAGCTCCACTGTTCCGGGTGAGTAACATCAAACTCGTTCAGTCTTCCCAGTTTAGCCATTTTGGGAAGGCCCCTGTGGTGGTGGTTAATGCTGTACTGCTGTGGTTGGAGCTGGGCTACACTTAGGAGTCCTGGGGACAAATCCCTCAGGTACATCTCTGCCTCCAGTGTGTCTTACTGGCAGGCAGGGGAGGAAGCGTGGTCACACCAGGGCTCTTTACCTGGTCTAACACCCAGTGATTTCAGCGTGCCTCCAGTAAGTGTGGCTTACTGGTAGGTGGGGGTGAGGACTAGTCCTGTCGGGGCTTGTTACCCAGCCTATCACCTAGTGATTTCAGTCCCTTAGCATCTGCTCTCTCCCTGCAGCATCCCATCTTCGTCACTATTATTGTGTAGTGGGCTTCATTATACAAGAAGCAGACCAACATAGCTACAACATTTATTGACTCAAAGCTGGAACTGAAGAACAGCAGGCAAATGCCTGTATTTTATACCCTGGGCCTACAAAGACTTAACCAATCATAATATTTGAAAAAGCCTGCCCAAATATGAATGTTCTAAGTTTCCATCCAAAACAGTTAGGCTCATCTAAAGGTTAGTTTCACTTTAGCAGGGCTTAATGCAACTATATATTCAATACATAACAATACATAACACATAATACATTACTACAGCACTAAAAAAAAGTGACTTATTACCATTTTCACACTTATGACTATTGCAGCATCCCCTTGGTCACACGATTTACATTAGGATACTTGACAGCTGACTCACATTTATGACAGTTGCAGTGTCCTGGGGTCATGTGAACACCTTTTGTGACCTTCTGACAAACAATGTCAATGGGGGAACCAGATTAATAACAGTGTTATTAATTTAACAACTATAGTGAACAAATGATTCAGTTAACAAATATGTCAAGAAAAGTTGTAAAACAAGGCAAAACTCACTTAACAAATTTCTCACTTAGCAACATAAATTTGGGTCTTAATTGTGCTCATAAGTTGAGGACTACCTGTAGTTCTGCCACATTGCAGCTAAAAGACAGAAAGCTATATGATGAAAGCTTTTCCAGAAGAAAAAGTTAAAATTTCCTCCAAGTGGAAAACTAGCTCTCCCCAGATTGCGCTGGGAATTTCCTCTATCACCCGTCACCAGTCAATTGGCCAAGAGGTCGAATTTGAATAAAAGCAATAGTTAAGCATGCTATCTCCCCCCTAGGCAGTTGTATAAACTGCCACAGAACAGAAGCTAGTAAAGAGCAAGCTTAGTAAAGCTCACAGGGTTGTTGTGGGAGGATGATGACAAATCTCCAAGAAAACTATTTTGAGCCCTTAGAAAAAAAGACAAGTTATAAAATTAATCCCCATCCCTACTAAATTTGAAGTGCAGTTTATAATAGCCGATGTAGTTGAAGAAACCCAGTAAAATAGTTGCTTGTATATGTGTAATTTTTTCGTGTATCTGTTCTTTTAACAGTGGAACAATGTAGGTAAGGAGATCTGTCAAAGAAGCAAAAAATATTTCGCTTAGATTTATAGTTTTGTTCTATGTTATATGAATATCCATGATAGGGATGCACATGTTTGCATTTCTCAGCCTCTCTGGGGAAAAAACAATACATGGGAACAACATTGTAGCCACAAATTATGACTTCTCAAAGAATATTGCAGCAAAATGCTTATCTGTCAGGTAGAGATCAGTCTTTTTTCTTCAATATAAAGTGATTCCCAATTATACAAAGTATGTTGAATTGATCCTTCCACTCCTCTCCTCAGTGAGATGCAGCAATAATGGAACTTTGCTTGAGAAACATGTTTCTATGTGACAACAGGGCATAATTTAAAAGAAAACAAATTGATTGTTGGGTATCAGAACACCTATAACAGCTTTGATTTAAATGCCTGATTTTGCTCCAAGCTCAGAATAAAATGCTAGTATGGGAGGTGTGGTTCAATAGTTGTTGAAGACAGAACATTTCAAGTTCAGTCCTTTTGCTTACCTCACAATATTTAATAGTTATCTAGAATAACCTAGACCAGGGATCCCCAACCTTTTTGACGCCGTGGCCCGGTACCAGTATCAGCTGGGTGCTGCGGCCCGGAACCGGCATCAACTGGGCGCCGCCATATTTTTTTGACAAAAAAGTGCTTCCGGTGACCTCACCGGAAGCACTTTTTCGTCAAAAAAGATGGCGCCAGCGCTTCCGGTGAGCTTTTTCGGGTAGAAATGGCTTTCTACCCGGAAAAGCTCACCGGAAGCACTTTTTTACCAAAAAAAGATGGCGGCGCCCAGCAACCAGCGGCCCGGTAAGACTTGTTCCGCGGCCCGGTACCGGTCCGCGGACCGGCGGTTGGGGACCCCTGACCTAGACAACATGCAGAAGTATCCTTGGTATCTTGTGAGATATAATCAGTCACTCAATCAAAGACAGCAGGCTAAGAAATTGATTGTTTCTGAAATCCTTTTGTTTCCTTTCAAGCATTTGCAGGAAGGAATGTCCAAATGGACAGTGAAAGGGGTGCCTCTTAATTTTGCACCTCATAAAGAATTAGTGAGCAAGAAAGAATTGAATTTCTTGAGGAAGAAAGGCAACATAAAATGTGCAGGACTGAAGGAATGATATTCATGCCTGTGCTGCTTTCAAGAAAGAAAGTTGGGCAAAATGATAGAAGAATGAAAAAATGAGCCATGATAGAAACTGAGACAGAGAACCTTTCTGGCTTTTATTTCTCCCACTTGGTGCACCTACTACTTTTTAGAATCATACACACACACACACACACATACACACACACTTTGAATGAAGCCAATATGAAAAATGCAACACATGTTAGAATGTAGTATACCAACACTCTTTTTATTTATGGCTTTGTTTTTATTACTATTTGAAGGAAAGAAGTTGACCTGAAGTTGGATGAGAAGGCCTATGAGGCAGAAATTCAGGCCGAAACAGCTGAATTACTAGAAGAAATTATTGAAGAGTATGAAAAGAAAATGAATGAATATAAAACTGAACTTCGGGCATGGAAATCATGGAAGAAGGCACAGGTTTGAATCAGCATCATTGTGGATGGGAAGTGTTTTTTGTTCATATACTATGTTGACTAATGTGGGAAAGAGTCTGACTCTGTGGTTTCTTCCCCTAACCCCAAAAACTTTAACCTTAGACTGTCTACTATTGACCTCACCCCTTTCCTAAGAGGTCTGCAGGGGGTGTGCATAAGCGCACCAACGTTCCTACCATCCCTGTCCTATTGTTTCTTTTTATTTTTCTTATATGTATCCATTTCATGTATTCATAGCTATGTTTATACTTATACCTGTTATCTTGTAAGTGATTGGCAAAATAAAATAAATTAATAAAGAGATTAGGCATGGGCTTAGTTGTCTAGCACAGTGTTTCTCAACTCTGGTAACTTTAAAATATTTGTATTTCAATAGCTCGCTAGCTGCATCATTCTGGGAGTTCAAGTCCACACAATTTAAGGATGCCTTATTTGAGAAAGGCTGGTCTAGAGATGGCGAGTGTAGTCAGTTGGTCACCTGGATGGTTAGCTATCATATAGATTAGAATGAATTATTTTTTGCATTCTGTCCTTTTCTGGCTGTCACATTGTTAATATAGGCAAGAGTCCAATCTACTTACAATTCTTTCCATATGAAACTAATCAAGATTAGGAGGGAACTTTCTTTGCTATTATTTAGCATGATTGTCAAATGCTAGTGGCAATGTGTTTCAATACTAGATTCATTCCGCTCCCTCACATAAATTCAGTAGCTTTCTATCAGCCCAGTCTTTCTAAGAGAATTGTAGTCATGTGAAAAATAACAGTACTTTGTATATTTTTCTTCAGGTCCTGAAAAAGACCAGAATATATATCTAATTAAAAAAAACAATGTTCTACATCAATGCCACTTTTAACCCAAAAGTGCCTTTCCAAAAGGCAACTGAACTTTCTTGGTTTTTTCTTTGAGAACCTTTTGCTTCTCATCTATGAAGCTTCTTCGGGTCTCTTCTTCTTGATGAGAAGTGAAACATTTTCAAAGAAAACAGGAAAGTCCAGTTGCCTTTTGAAGGAAAAAAAAACTTTGGGACAACCATGACCTG